GAAACAGTAGCGCGGGCACAAGCTCACAAGTAAACTCGAAAATTTGTTTTTGAATTCGTTTTCTATTAGGCATGCTAGCTATTAAAATCATACCTACATATGTACATACGTACACACAAATACATATATGTATGTTTGTTTTGTACTCAGATATGCGAACACAATTGCTTTTGTTGTTGTTGCTGTTGTCGCAAATGGTACCGTCTAAAAATGTATGGTACGCTTCATTGTTCTGCTGATGGCTCACAATTTGTTGTTGTTGTTTTTTTATTTTGCATAATATGCGAGAATTGTTATTTTTAGTACTATTTGCCAATACTAAAAGGTTTCCATGCAACAATCGACTTACTAACTGACTCACGTTGAAGTTATAACTTTTTTAAAGTATTTTTCCAACTTCTTTACTTACTTCATTCGTTCGTAGGTGCGATTTTGCTTATGATTTACTAAACGCCTATTTATAACATACCATACATATGTAGTCAAATTTTTGTATGGGTGTGTGTCGTTCTCTGCAATCACGCAAGCATTTCTAAAACGCTTATCAATTTCTCATTTCAAGTACCAACAACAATACCATAAATACGACATGTCGATTTGTTTATAATTTAATGGAAATACGAGTGTCAAAAACACGCGCCACACACAGCACATACAAATCAATTACATATTATATATGCATTCGTATCGACATACAAACATATGTACATACATGTAATTCTTATAAGAAAATCATAAATTAGTTACATAAGTTGGATTGTTCCGCTTTTTGGTTTAGTTCGCACCAAAAAAAAGTTTAAAAATTACGATTTTGCAAAAATCTTCCACAATTCTGATTTATTTTCACAAAATTGTGTGTTGTTAACAAAAAAAATTTATAAACACGATTCCGAACTTTTTATTACAAAATTTTTGATTTGATATTAGAATCCAGAATAGGAATTAAAATCGATATATAGTGCATGGTCTTAACTAAAACACGTAGTTTTTTCTTTTTACTTCACATCAACCTGTCAGAAGTTCTGCTGTGAACGTGCAGCAGTTTTTTCCCGAGAAACTGCCGGAAATAACATCGTAATAGTCGAGTTTTGAAAATTTTCCTTTAAAAATTTCCAAAAATCTATGTAAAGTAATAATATAATAAATATTTAATTTTTTAAGTGGAAAATAATTATTGAAAAGAGGCCGTTTTTTGCTCGAGAAAACCCACCTAATCCCTTATAATAAGCGTGAAACTTTAATGTTGCCATCTAAAAATGTTTTTCAAACATTCTAAGAAAAGTAAAACCTGAAATAAAGAAAAAAAAGTAATAATGGGTGACCATAGTGTAAACGGGGTGAATCGCAACGTATTCTGTTAAAACTTCTCATCTGAGTCTTATCGTAGTCAACGATAGACAACGATAGTCGCGTCTTTGCAATTCTAACTTGATTTTTAGCTGACTTTTACTAAGGCGGCTTCCCCCAGATAACTTTTAAGCATCGTAAAACTCAATTTATAGTTTTTTGTTTAAGACTCAATATTACTATATATGTATTTGTAAAAGGCTAAAAATGTGGAGAAACACACTATTTCTGCAGCAAATCATGAATCTTAAATCTGGCAAACATTTTTGTGACGAAATACCATTACCATAATTAAAAATCCGTAATACTTAAAAGTTTTTTCAAATAAAACTCGTTTAAAAAGAGTAAAGATAATTTACATACATACATACATACATTAAAACATATGTACATACACACATTGCGTTGAGAACAAAATGCAATACTGATAAAATTACTCATGTCTCGATTTCATTAGAAGAGCGTCAGCACTCAATTTGTAATTTACGTATTTATTAGTTGAAAAAAAAACGGATCATATTTGTATTTTTAAATGATCCAGAGAAAAGCGCAATTATGCGGAAATGTAATGATTTGCTAACACGATGAAGATTAATTGAAACTTATTTAAGTGCACTTGTGTGCTTTTGTATGCGTAACTAAGTGTATTTGAATGGAATAAAAATTTCAAACAATCAGGTTATTTACTTAAGTACGTCAGAACGTGAAAAAAACATCACTTTTATTACAGAGTTATACACTAAGTTCAAAGTTACGATCAACAGATGTACAAACAGTTATTGAAAAAATTTAAAACACCGAGAAAAATGTTTGGCGCGACGGTGTGACAATGGCATTCAGCGAAAAACAGTTATATACATATGTATATACGGTATGTATAATATATATATGTACACATATTCTCCATGATCTATTGTCTCATAAACGACAAACTCTACGTCGAATCAATAGGTCATTCCAAAATCATTCCATCGTTAGACCCATTGATTACCGATGACTATTTAACCGTTCAAATTTCATTTATCATTTCGTGATGTTAAAATTTTCATAACGCTCTTATAGCCGGCATATTACGTATTTTTAACCGATAAAAACAAAAATGATCAGTTAACTAACCTTTATTAAAAATTAGTTGTTTTGCTGCACTTGCTTAACAAACACTAATCTTTTTTTAATCAAAAAATATGAATTTGAGATAAACACATACTTATACATATATGTATATGTACTTATATGTATGTACATATATTCTTCGTATGTATTGTAAATAAAACGCTTCTTTTCAGATATCAGCTAATCTGACATAAACAAATATTTTTCTTAACAAATACAACACAAATATAAAAAAACCATTAAAACTTCCTGTTTACTTGCAATCAAATGAGTTTGCATAAATTATTTAAAAAAAAAAAAAACATTAATGAATAAAGAAAGGTTTTTTAAGCTGTCAAGTGAACCTATGGCAAAATAAATTTCAGAGTTGCTGATCTGCGTAAAAATGTTTGTTTAACTACAAACTTTTTTATAATTTAGCTATTATCTATTATAGTGAAAAATGTAAACTTCAATTACACCAAAGCTATAATACTCTTTATGAATAAAAAAAGCAGTTGCATGGCAGTTATATAGTATAGGCAGCTATAGTGGTCCGATTAGGCTTGGCTTTCAAATAAAAAAGTTTTCCATACAAGGACTTGTTCTTTAATGTGCAGGCCCTTGGGGAGAAAATGACGTGTGCGTCAAATCGATAACTCAAAAACTGAGGAACTAGTTAATATACCTTGTTCAGGGTATACCTAAAAAAATACCAGTGAACCCATGCCTGTTTTCCAACGTAACGAAAAGCATCTGATTCCAGGTACGCCTGAATGTCGTATATACGTTCAATAATTTACATTAATTAAATATCCTATAATTAATTTAAATTTTTTATTTGTTTCTACTGCAATACATATGTACATATATTTTAGAATGCTCAGCGTTAAGTTTACTTTAAGTCGAGCTATGTAAATGTTGAGATTATAAACTTATTTGCAATTAAAATTAATGCAATATCATGAGTGTAAATTGATATGAAAAATACACATTTAAGAACGTGACTAACACTTTGGCTAATTGTTTTCTTCGTTAAATTTTCATAATTTTAATTGTAAACTAAGCGTAAGTTAAAAATTTACGTAACGGGAAAAGCATTTTTTTTATTTGTTTGGTTTTAACTAGATCGTAATTAGTAAGGAATCGATGTGGTGTTAAAAAAATTTCGCATTTGCATAGTAACTATATAAATTAATAAACTAATATTTAACTGCATGAGCGAGACTATTTAAATATTTGTTTATATTATTTAAATAATTGAATCGCCTTCAAAAAACACAAGTTTGAAATCAAGAAAAAATAACACAGATAACATTTTTGCGTACACGCACACACGCGCACATTTCAACACATTTATAATTGTTCATAAATAAGTTTGGCGCAATTTGTGCTCTTTAAAGCCCACACAGTGTTTTGCACGCATTTACTATTTTGTTATTAAAACTTTGCCAATAAATGCTTTTGTTTACATTCCAAATAAATGATTTTACGTTCCCAAATTCACGTTTTCTTTCATCTGTCCGCTATTCTGCACTAACAACAAGTGAGACATCCATAACTCAATCATAACAGTAAATTTAATATAGCGATGATGACTTATCCTGTGTGCGCCGGCTTACCTTGGTGCCAGCTAATCCACCTCTAATAAAGTGGTAGTACTCATTCTTGTAAAAACAAAACCATATGTATTTTAGTGATTTCCGTCTGGCATTTTATATACATACATATATTGTAGTATATGTTAAATAAAAACATAAATCGACATAGTTTATTATTATATGAGGTGCACCAGCGTTTCACCGCATGCCTGCACCATGAGCAACTTGTCCACTGCTGCGTCGCAGTCGCGTTGCTCTTCATTAATTACCTAACCGAACGCATCGTCGTCGCTGCAAAGTACGCAGTTCCACCCGAACGTGTACGCTAGCATTTATGCACATGCACAACGCTACAAGCATAGACAACGTGCATACACACACATGCACATATATACAAAGTTTGTATCTAAGGGGCACATACCTATTGAATATGTGGTAATCACTATATAACCACAACAGCAATAGCAGCTGCCGATGAAATTTCAACGAAAGTATTTTGTTTGTTTTTCTTATTGAATACTATGTGCTAAGCGCTTATGGTGATCTTATTTCAAGTCTTTTTTTCTTTATTAAAAGAAATTAAATTCTACATTATTAATTCAATTAGCTTAATTTGGTAGTAGATATGTTTGTTTAGTACATTTTATATCTAATTTATATGTTTCATGCTATCACTCACTAACACGTACATATATATACATACATAGTACATATATACCATATATGCATGTATTTAAAAGCCAAACCTTGAATAGGTTTGTGGTGTATATAGCCATTGAATTGTTGTCTATTTTACCAGACATTGTAAATCTATTGGCCAGCGAAGCAACCAACTAACCAATAAGGTATGATTACACCGTCGACCGATAGACCTAAAAACGAGGGCAGCAGTCAGGCAGACAGGCAAGCGGCCAACTTAGCTAACCGTTTTCGAATACGTTCAATGAATCATACACGTACCAGTATGCTTGCCTGCCTTTTAAAACGCACCGAACGACTTGCCCTGCCAACGTTTCGACTGTCTCACCGTTCATACGTCCACTGATTTTTCATTATTTCACAAGTTTTACAATATAAAACTCACAAGCTTTTTATTTGCTTTGATTCAGTATTTAACATACCTTTCTTTCTTTTTTTGTAAACAGTTTACACGTTTTACTAAACTTCTTTTTCACTATATAGTTTGATTTTGGAAAGGTACAAAATGGCTGAAAACCAAAAGAAAAACAATTACCGAGATGCGCTTTGACTCGGTTTAGTATATTAAAAAATTCCACAGTATCGGCGAGATGCAGATACTCGCACGGCTTGTCACACACCAACAATAAAAGCAAAACTGTCTAATTGGAGACAGCATTCAAGTGCTAGTGTCAAAGGCACACTGCTGCCAACCGTTTTCGTATTTGACCGATTTGACAAATGCTTACACCGGATACGGCGTGAAAAGGGAAATGATAATATTTTGGAAGTTTAAATTGAAAAAATATTCATCATATATCAATATCATTCAAGAAAACATAGTTTATAATTATAAAAGAATAAGAATATAAAGAAGACAAATCTATACCAATATTTGCATTTGCATTGAAATTACCTTTAGTACTTGCAAAAATAATACTTTGGCCTTTGCTGGTTGCAAATAATCAGAAAAAAGTAGTTTTTCTCTACTACAAGTATATACACATTTAAGCTTGAAATGGAAGCAGTTACACCTAATAACTAACCAGTTAACTCATTAATATTATGCAACAAAATAACACTTATGTAATAATAACAAGCAGTTCGTATGAAGTTTTTCCGGAAGTGTGAAAATGTGATATTCGTCTTTAATGTTATATTCAACTAAGGACTAATAGTGAAACAACATATTAGGCGGACCGGGCCTATCGTTAGATGACTTCCATGACAACATACTTGAACCTTACCATTCAAGCTGGTACAACAACAGTGAAAAAACATATATTTTTAATTTAGTGGATCCAGAGTTTGGTACTTTGTGGGTGGTTTCTAGGTAGTCGTAAAACACAAATCGTATAATAAAAAAACTAAAAAGAAAACGCACTGTTTATTTTAATATGTTAAGTCATATTTAGGTGAAAAACAAAATTTCATTTTGCTTTGTTTGTTATTTTTATCCCCCATTTATGATGTTTGCCACGACGTTCAGCCAAAACGAAACTTCGGAGAAAATATATATATAAGTGATCAGCGGGACAAGCTAAGTCGATTTAACCATGTTCGAACTAGTCCCTCAGTTTTTGAGATATTAACTTGAAATTTTACACACGTCCTTTTCTCCCCAAGAAGCTGCTTATTTGTCGGAATCGTCGATATGGGACTACTATAGCATATAGCTGCCATACAAACTGGCCGATCAAAATCAAGTTCTTGTATGGCAAACTGACAAGATATCTTCACAAAAATTGATCTGGATTATTTTGCAAAGCAACAATACAACTTTCGAAGCAATTTTTCAAATCGAACCACTATAGCATATAGCTGTCATACGAACTGATCGATCATGTTTACGTCCTTGTATGGAAAACTTTTTTATTTAACAACGTATCTTCACGATATTTGGCATGGATTATACTCTAAGGAAACAATACATTTTCCAAAAAAAAATTGTTCAGATCGGGATACTATAGTATATAGTTGCCATACGAACTAACCGATTAAAATCAAGTTCTTATAAGAAAACTTGAACCTGTGAAGGTATTTTTTAATCAAATCAAATCTTTCATTAGAAGTCTTCATACTATAAATCAGTGCAGAAATTATTGAATTAAAATGGAGTTCAACTTGCAGTTTACTTCCTTACCATCATCGACATTTTCAACCTAATACAATAATAAAACGCGTATAATATTAAATATTTACTTCGCATATATTTTATTTCGCACTAACTTAGCTTTTTTGTATGTGCTTGACTTTCTTTCTTATACTTTAAGTCAAGTTAAAAAATAAGGTACTCAAAAATAATTTCTTTATACATTTTTATCTTTTTCTTTTAATACATAAAAACGCGTGTGTTCGGGTTAAGTTTTAACAATAATTGCAAATAATTTGGAGAAGTAGATAAAATTAATTTTTTAATAGGTAAATGTTAGTATAGTTTAATTAAAAGTTTTATATTTTTATCTACAGTACTGCCTATATGAATAAGATTAATATATTACACAATTAATTGTTCTATGGGCGTCGTCATAAAGCAAACACATGATTTAAAGAGCATATTTACCTAAAATTTCGTTAAGTTTTATTTTCTTACTGCTTTAATGCGTTAAATCTAAACAATTATATACTTGTATGTTACTTTATATAATTCAAATTTTCTATTGCGTTATAGACATATTTCTTACTATTGTATTTATTTATGTACATATATATATATATGTATGTAGCTCATAAAATAGTAGCAATTCTCTGGCGTTTGCAAATGTAACTGAGATAAGAATACAGTCCAGTTGAAGATAGTTTGATAGATAGTTTCAGGGTACTGCATTTTGTTTTGTGTGAATTAAGTATTAAAGAGCATAGAAAACTGCATTTAATCACGAGAACAATATAAGTATATACATATATATGTATTTTATAAGAGCTTCAAACAAATTTATGCTTTTTGTTGCTTTTTCAAACGCCATCTATATAAATTTCGCTTGCTGTTAACTGATTTTAGTCGCGTGTTATGTGTATGTGAATCAGCAGAAATTAGCATTACTTCCGTTCTTTACGTCGCGATGTTCGAATTTATCCCTTTTTGTGGAAGTACTGATACAGTGTCCTTAATGTCGTTATCGTTTTGATTGTTGTCGTTCCATTGGCTATTTTATGTTGGTATACCGAGTGTTTTACGCACTAAACGTCTGGCAATTTCGTTGAACTCTTCGCGTCGTTCACGCCACATAATAGCTGCATCTACATTAGCACCCGATTCTGCATTTGGTTCTGTAATATAAGAGAAAATAACCGCCATTATTTCAAACTATAAATACACATTATATTTGAAATGAATGCTAAAATCATTATACATAGGTAAAGTTAGACAGACAATTAGAGTGGTTACATAAATTTACAACAAGCTGAAAGTTCGTGAATGCCTATGTTCGATATGTGGAAAAAATATTCGAGATCAAAGGTCAAAAATGTTTTTTTGTTGTAAATTTGTATGTCTATTTTGATTATTAATGCAAAAAAAAAGGAAGTTTCAAACGAATTACTCTTCCACTCACCAGCCAACATCGAAACAACACTTAGTAGGATTTTTTCAACGCTTTGCACTGGACTCCACCGTTCGGCAGACAACTCATATCCCATGGGGTCATCACCTGGAGCATGTAATATTGATATGCAAACTCGGCCATCGGCAAAAACTGTTAACAATGAATTATGTTTGTTTTATAAGTATTTATGTTTGGATAGTTTATATAGCTTACTGTTTGGGTGGAACATGTCACAGGTAAATTTCATTTTCGGTGGGCTCAGCGGATAGTCTGGCGGAAATAACAGACGCGCTGGAAATACGCCACCTTCGAAGCAAGTTCCCTCAGGGCCACTATAAAATGAAAGAGGAGTTAAGAAACATTTAAAATATGGTTTTTGGTTTCATACATATTTACATACAAATATTAAATTTAAATTTATTTTTTTATATACTTACGCTATCAGCGCTTCCCACTCAAAAAAGTTGTCTTCACTTACAGGACCAGCCACTATGCCCTCCGGTGGGTCCAGAGTCAACTCTGTAAATAAGTATTATTTTATTAAGCAACATACGCAATTTGTTAAGAAACTTTTCGTAGTAGACCAAAACATAAACGAACTTTGGAATTTCTAAACTTACGTTTATATTCCGCCATAAGCCTTCTCAGCGCAGACCCGGCCATTTGTCACTCTTTATTTTGCTTTGACAGCAACAGTAACAATCGTCACGCACAATCCCAGAGGTTCACTCGACCCCAAATCAGTCTTCAGCTGTCTCTTATGGTTTTGGCGGAGGCCCGGACGTCTTACGACGTAACTTTTACAATTTGAATTGTGGTTTTTACGTTTAAATCGAATTAAATAAAACTAGTGCCACACATTTAATTTTTTGTTGTTTTGCGACTTTCTACGAAGATTTTCAGAGCTCAACTCTTTTGCAGTCTTTTGTTTGTCAGCGTAGTGTTCGGTATTGCCAGATTGACATTGTTTGTGTAAAATTAAACAAAACAATATATATCTTGTTGCTTTTTCTACAAATTACTGCCTAATATGTAGACAAATTATAAAAAAAAATATTGTTGCTTTCTTACAATATATCTAATAAATATAAATTATTCACCAACGAAAACATTATTGCATTTCAAATAAGTCTATTTCTACAAATATGTGGCAATATTTAATATTCATTTTGCGAAACAGTCATAAAAAGCAGAGAAGAAAAAAGACATGAAAAAATAAGAAAATGTCATTGATAATCAACCCCCTTGGTTCTTGTCTCTACTAAATTTTTACAACACACATTTGTCAAATTGGAATTCCCGCTATTCCGCCGCGTCGCTGAAAATTTTTGCCGGATGCCGTTATAATCTGAAAAATTGTGAATTTTAGTTAAAATATACATTTTTTTATTAATACCATTTTCGCAAAACCTTGTATGGCTAAGTTCTAGGCAATGAAAAGATCTACACTTTTTTATTAACGCCTTTTTCACATAACCTTAAAATTTATGTGAAAAATTCAAATATTGTTTTTGGTTTTTTTATTTTTATCTTATACAAAAAAACAATTTTTTCACGAAATTTGGTGTAAACTTTTCTTCTTAACTGTGTTCCTAACAAACTTTATTTTATTTAATTTAAAATAATAGGGTGAAAACCTCATTTCGACTTAAAATCGAAAAAATCCAAATTTTCAACCAAAAACATTCTCGTCAATTAAATTTTTTTTTTTAAAGTCAGTCGACTTTGTATTTGTTGACATTTACATTTTGATGGTATAAGAACTATATACATTACTCGCCATCGCTAAAATTTAAATAAAAAAAGATCGTGATAATAATTTTTTAAGACGATCCCACTAGGACGCACCTTCTTAAACGTTTTAAATTAAATATTGTCAATAAAAATTGATATGCTTAATAGAAAAATATGCGCCTGCAAGTGCACTCCCTCCCTACATAACATATAGAGAACAAGTACTCAACCCTGGGCAGCGTCTACCTCAGTCCATTTGTGATATGCAATACGAATATAAACGAGAAATTAATGCAATCACTGGACTTACAGTATCAAAAAAAAAAATAAAAATAAAAATAAAATAAAAAATAAAACGCATGACAATAAATGTATTGAGAACCACAGCGGATGCAGATTTGGTCGAATTCCATAATAGTGGGGGCTGAGATTGTGCGGCAGCTGTTACAGTTGTATGCTGCTGCCACAGTGGCTGCCACCAAGGCATTGTTCGTATGACAATTGTTGTGGTCGCTATGGAAATTATGAACAAATAAATGGATTTATTTCATTACCGTTCTGCCAAACAGGGAGTTGGGAGCATTAATACAACAAAAAAATGTTTAAGCCGTGTACATTTAAGCATATGTAAGTATATATGTATGTGGATATTTGCACATAAATGCATTTAATGCATCGCTGCGTGTTGCTTGGCGGAACCGGATGCAACGGATGTGTTTTACACCATTGCGGGTCGTGCAGGTGCTCCGACAGCGGACATGCCACCAGATAAGAGTTTGTCGTTGCATCAATATGCTACCAACGCTTTGGTTTGGTTGAGATTCAATCGATTATAGCATTTGCCACTGCGTTTATCGAATTAAAAAGTGCAACTAAAATTATGTTCCAAATTTTGCAATTTCTACAATTTGCATTGCGTTGCACATTTGTCCAATGGCGGTGCCTGTTTCGCCATGTTTTGTTGGTGGTAGACAATATTTCTCTGCTGCCACACGCTTTTGGCGAAAATTGTTGTGATTAATGTACCCGTTTTTGAATTATTTTCAATTTCAGAGCCATTATCATCGCTGCCAAATGTGTTCTGCGTTGCTCAGGGCGTTAATTATAAAATCATATGCAATTCAATATCCAATCAGTTGTGTATACATTTTTTGTTTAATATTTCCAGGTACATTGACTACGAATTGTTTACTGTTAAAGTGATTTTGAGTTGTTTGCATGTGTTGTTACTGCTCACAATGTGCGAGTGCATATACCATACATATATACACCTGCCGATAGGGGTTATAGATATTGATACTGTATTTTATTTAAGGGGGTATTCTGGTTTATGTCCCTAAAAAGATTTTTTTAAATTTCAATTATTTATCGGAGTTACAGCTCATTTTGTGTTGCGCCGACAAAAGCGACTACAACTACTTTTTTAGAAACTGTGTGCATGATATCTCAAGTTCACTCAATCGATTTACTTAAAACTTTATATAGAGCTTCTTAATACAGCACGAGAGGATTAAAAAAAAATTTTTTTATATTTATAAAAAGTTCCGAACGGCAAAAAACAGGGAAATAACGAAATTCTCTCGTAATGCTATAACTACATCCTTCCTCTTTAAGGATCACTCAACAATTTCCATTTCGGGTTACTAGGAGTCCTGATATCCTGCACACCAGGACACGCGATTTTTTTTATCAGTCCCCACTTGGCCGCCCTGGAATTCTTTGAAATTTTAGTTTTTTTAATATAAATGATTTGTACTCTTTAAATATCAATAAAAAACATATAAAAAAATGTAAGGTAAAAATATTTCTCGATCGAGTCCAAAGTCCAAAAAAGAGCCTAAATTTCGGGCTTCTAAACCAGAATACCCTCTTAATATGTGTGCATATGCTTTGGGTTACACTCCAAGTGAAAGGGTACACACTTAAGATTAATAAACAAATGTTTTTTTTTTTTAACGAGTTTAAGGTTATGTGGAATTATGATTAATATTTTTTAAAAATATTATTTTCAAATACTAATTCCATTTGAACAAAGTAGTGAAGATATGAATGCCGTATAATTTCGTAGATAAAATTCTATTACTATGTCAAGCAGCATTACTGAAGAAAATTTATACCATCTGATCAAATTTGACCCGGACTGGTCCATGTAGACTGCGCTCGCTAACCGAATTCTTAAATACTTTTTCTTCCTAGATTTCGCAAGCAGTTTGATCTTCATATGTCAATTACCAATGACTCAACTTATTTTGGTTAATGTTTTTTTATATGAAGGGTGTCAATGCTAGACTCGTACCAAAAGACCTGAATCCTTTGCGAAAATGACGTCGAGCAGAGATCTCAAAAGGAATGCTTGACAACTTAGTTGAGGACCCTACATTCATCAAACTCATCATTACTGGGGGCAAGACGTGGTTTTATGAATATGGCGTCGAAACTGTCCAACATTCAGCGAAAGACGCTTCAAATATTAGACGAAACCGAAAAAAAACCAAAATTTTCATTCAGTGCATGGAAATATGGATTAAGGGTTGGCATGCTTGTATACGCTCAGAAGGAGCCAATTTAGAAGGCGATAATAAAGATGAAATAAGTGAAAATGTAGTTTTTTTTGTCAGTCCGCGTCAAATTTGATCAGCTGTATTTATACATTCATATATTATTGTAATTGTATTTTGTGAGTAGTATCCAACTAGAATATCCTCAACTAGTCGGGAAGTGTTTTTCAAACGTAAAAAAATCTTACTGCGGAACCCTTTCAAACACATGTATAATACATATTTACATATTTATAAGCAATACTGTAATTATCTACAAAATTATGTATAAATATCTCCTCCCCTTGGAAAGCAATAAATGGCATATGTACAAGTATTTTCCACAATAATAAAGCTCCGCACACAAATATTTTTCAGGTGTTGACCATTTTATGATTAAATTGCGGTTCATTGTGGCCGGTATTTTTTTTTTGCCCCGCTCATACATACATACGTATATAGCTGCATACATAAATGCTTTTAATTATTTTCTCTGTTTCTAGGGAATATCCATGAATTAATGGCATGCACTATAAAATAAAAATGCACGTATATAAGTATGAGTATATATTTATATTTGCGTTGAGTGAATACATTTTTATATACATATAAGTATCGTACAATAGTTAAAATACACCAAATAACGTTCAATTATCAGGTGATTAAAGTCTTGCAAACTCTGTACATAAAACGCATTGAATATTCAATTAAAATCAATGAAGTAATATGAATTGTAATTTAATATATAATTTAATTATTATAAACATTTAGGAAATATTTAAACCTTATACGAACAACATTGGGAAGTACTTAAGGGTCTAAATTTATAAAAATCGATTTTTTGAATTTATATAATATATTGTATATCCGACAAGGATCACTTCGTATTTATAAGCATTTTTTAACTCAGTGTATATGGCTCCCAAAATTTTAAACACGTTTTTCTCGAAACGCTGTTTTCAGTGTCGGTGATGAAAATCTCGATCGATCGACTTGAATTTTTTACAGGACCTTCTTAGATATATTATATTGGCCACGTAATGATTGAAGAAATGTGTTTTCTGATAATGATTTCCTTTTTTTTAAACCACTCTGAGGTGTAGATTTGGGAAGCCGCCATTTCGTCAAAAAAGCTGCCTTACCGCCAGTCACCTTATCTCGGAAGATCAAGGGAACCCATAATTTTTCATAATTAATCGCCTATTATTGAAGTTTATTAAATTCTGTACATGTACAGAATAAAGGTAGTACAAAGGAACGCGTTTTTTTTACTTCGAAGTGGATATAACCTCTTAACCTTTTGCACTCGAGCGGCGCTGATATGGCGCTCGGCCAACTTGAAGTGTCAACTCTAGCGCCGCCGCAGTGCACTATGGTCTTTTGTAACTCGATCTCTTTATTTACGATGCGCAATAAAATATTTTTCTCTGAAGTACTTTTCTGGGCTAGGTTCGGCAGACCTTGTAGCCAAATCTTAGCTCAGTCCAGCTAGTCAGTTAGAAATCTGACTAAATGGGAAGCTTCACGTAATACTAAAAGGGACAAAAAGTGACTGCAAAGTTTGTTCTGATCGTAGCACAACTGGAGGAAGGCGGGAAATTTGATATATCTGTAATACGTGCCCAGACAAGCTTAGGATGCATCTTGACTATTGTTTTTCTAGATATCACACTAAAACTAATTACAAAGTGTAAGTGTAATACTTATCAAAGTTTGAATAAACTAAAGAAATTTTATTACTTTATACGCTTGTTTGTTTAGACATGTTTTTTTTTGATTTTAAGTACTTTTTTTGTTTTGTTTTGAAGTAATGTTGACCTAATTCGGCCGAAACTGTCTCGAGTTGATGGTTCGCGCAAGCGGAAAAGGCCTCGAGTGCAAAGGGTTAAGACAATATCAAAATTTTTATCACCTAGCGATAATTATCTGTAGAATCTACTCATATTATATATTACTTATTTCAAGCATGATTAAAGGATTCACCTTAATATAAAAATGTAGAAGTAATCATTAAATTTCTCACACTTCCTCAACTGAACTTTAAATTCACACTCAGAAAATCGTGTAAGAACCAACCACAATAAGATATTTGGCGACATTGAATATATCTAGGGTGACATCTCAATTCTAGCGATCTTCCAACTTTTTATACCGTTGTGTAGACTTCAAAAAATTCGGAATTTTTCCCTGACTATCATTTCTTTGGGGTCTAAGTACAGGAAAAAGTTTCTCTGAGCCAGAGCCAGGAGCTTTAAACTATCTTTAGCAACTCTATTTTACGGTCATCCAAATTGTTATGTGTTTTGGTTTTAATGTTTCCCTTCATAGCTGTCACTTTTGAACTACCATTTGGACAACGTTTTACATTCTTATAAATTGTGTAAATTTGCTATGCTATATTTCCGGAATCAATTGTCTTAAAGCTGCGAATCTTATACACATACTTTCTGTAGCCTAGATCTAACAAAAAATTTAAATTAAATTTAATTCTAGTGGCATCTTTTAATATAATGATACAAACTTTTCAGTTTACCTGCCTACTTTCCGATCAAAACAGGGTTCGATCGCCTACCTGATAATTGCTATCAGCCAATTTTGTAGCTTAGCTTAAGCCTAATTCCATTTAGAGAAAGTAAAAACAAAAAACGCATTTCAGTTTCAACTGTACATCATTAATATTTATTCGTTTTATTTATTAGCTGTGGACATTAAAACATTACACATTCAGTTTCGAAGTTAATGCATCCATTTGCTCACTTATTGTTATAGGTATATAATATTTCTTTTTGTGCAAATGGTTAAGTAGAGTGGCCAAAATTCGAAGCAAATTCAACAGTTGCAGCATTTTTCATTAACATTTTTATTTATAAACATTTGTGAATTTGCGCAACTCGTTCATTATTCAAATATTTAAGTAAATATTATATTTAAAAAAAAAAAAATAATTGGTCATTATAGTAACCAATATCAACTTATTCGGTTAAATAAATTATTTTATTTATATAAAAACCGAAAATAAAAAATCAAATATATATTCATTTTATAATTTTTTTATGAGTTTTTTTAGCTTTAAGTCGCTTACAAGGTTAAATAAATAATTTTTTGTTAACATTTATAAAAAATTGGCTTTTTAGTATTGGTATTTAGCGTTTAGCAATACATTGCTAATAATTGTGCCATTTTTAAGTGTTTATTATTGCATGTTTATGTGTGTTTTTTTTTGTAATTTTAAATGCACATTTATATATATTATTATAGTAATAATAAAACTATTTGCTAAAAATATTTTAAATTAATAATATATTTCTTTTTAGTTTTTATGTGTTTTTTTTGTAACTTAAGCTTGTGTTCACCCTAATGCTATGTAAGTACATTATATTATTATTAATTTCAATATTTAATACTTTTATTGTGCGGTGTGTTAAACATTATTGCTTTCATACATTTGATTTTAGTTGCCATTTATTTATTATTTTTATTTATGTATGCAAGTATTGTAAATATTTAGTTGTGTTTGTGTATATATCAATTTTAATTTTATTTGATTTTTTATTTACTTTAGGTAATTTATTGGCGCATTATTTATTGTTCCAGTTCTATTTATTTCACATAAGTATGTATTTAATACTACGTTTATGGTTTTCTATGTTTGCTATATAGGATCTGTGTGTGATTGGACTAAAATACAATAGTGTTTGAGTAAATAGTTATGGCAAAATGTATGGCATGAAATTTAATTGCTAAATGGTAGGCAAAAAATTCCATTTCTCCTTCGAAATTTATAAAAAAGCACTTCAAAAAGCAGTTTTTGTTGTAGTTTGAGAAAATCGGACTCTGACGAGCACAAGTCAAGTAAGTTAATTTTTGGATTATTGAAAATAATATTACCTTTCATGTATCATATGATGTCATATATATATGTATTTTATGATGTCATTTCATTCTGTTTCTAAAATTTCAATCACCATTCAAAACTTTGAAAAACGGTTAAGATTTTTCATGAAAGCTCTGCAAAGCTTTTAATGCAACAATTATTCTTTGGAATATAAAAAAAAATAATTTTGTGGCATTGTTTTTCAGAAACTCAAAATTTTTTTCATGAGCTTTTTTATTTTCATATTGGTTTTGATGCCCCTCATACTATGTGCAAATATTTGCTAAAAGTTCCATTAGTTTTCAAATGCTTTTAGAAATAGTTAAGAAATTCCGCAAAAGCTCTGAAAAGCTTCTATATCATTATTGTTTGGAATAAAAGTGAAAATAATGTTGTGGCAATGTCTATCAGAAGTTCATTATTGTTTGTGAAGCTTTCATGAATTTTTGATGCTCATTTGAATTTTGAAGCCTTTCATACTGAGCAAACATTTTATAAAAGTTCCATTAGCTTTTAAAACCTTTCAAAGAAAGAAGAACTATAATGTGAAAGCTCTGCAAAGCTTTTAATGCAACAATTACTTTTGGGAATAGTTGTGAAAATAATTTTATAGCATAATACCATAATGTCGATTGAAAGTTCTTAGTTGTTTCGCGGACTTTTATGAGCTTTTGATTCTCAAACGAGTTTTGATATTTTTCATATTCAGCAATTATTTGCTAAAAGTTTCATTAACTTTTGAAAAGGCTAAAAAAAGTACAGATTTAGCTTATTTTTTATAGAGTAAGTTTTCAGATGATTTATATAATATAATTTTCTTTTGAAGTGGTTTAGCTAAATGAGTTTTGGATGTGTTGATGGATTGTTATTTCGACTGAAATAAATACCGAAAAGTATAATTTTAAAGCAGCATATCCTTGCCGAGCTTTAAAAGGCTCTATTTTTAATGTTTGTTTTTAAAGAGCACGAAAGCTCCCAAAAGCTCTTATGAAAAGTGTTTCTGATTTGTTTAAACAGTACGATAGGTCTTAAAAGCTTAACAAAGCAGCAGTGGTGTAAAAGGCTTCATGTAAACTTTTGGTAGAGTATGTATATTCCAATTTTTTTAAAGTATTTCAACAGAGCTTTTGCCTTTGCCATTGCTTTTTCGTTGGGCCAAAAAAGCATCTAGCTTTTACATAAGTAAAAATTATTATATATATTATTTTCGCGAATACTTTGGTAAATAAAAAATGCTTTCATTGTATTTCAGCGTATGATTTTTGCTTTATATTAAATCTTTAAGTATATTATTTAAATGATTTAATTAATATTTTACAGACATTTGGAAAAAGCTCATATTTTTCAAAATTTTCTTTCAATCTTAAATTATAATTTTTTTTTCAGTTTAAAACTAAATCAGTGTTAGTGCGAGTTGAAGTAAAATTATAAAAAAAATATTACAAATAAATAATTATGATAATTAAAAAAATTATATAAAAAATATTTTGAATAATTGTAACTTTTTGTGCTTTTTTCGATTAATTTCAGTATAGTAAAAATAATTTTGATTTTAAACAGCGAAAAATTACGGATTTCATTCAGATATATACGATTGCACATATGTATACACAAATATATATATTATATGTGTGTATGCATGTGTGTGTGTGTTAATCTGTTTATTCGACTTTGAATGCATTTAAGTAGTTTTGCCTTAAAAACTATTTCAAATTATCATTATTTTTATAAATACAAATACATTTAAAGTACGCGCATGAATATACGTATGTATGTTTTTGTGGAAGTGTGTGTTTTTCAATTTTAAAATTTTTGTGATTTTTCTTAATACACTTTACTGACACGTTCGCGCACGTCGCTGGAAGCGTTTCATACGTCTATACCATTCATCCTTCCACTCGATCACAATGGAACGCGGACCGATGCCAAGATAGCCCGGTGGCGATTCCGAATCTCTGCCCAGTATCAGATAGGAGCTGTGAATGAGAGAAGAAAAAGCAAAAACAAATCATAATATCAGTCAATACTTCACAACAACTAAAAAAATTTGAGCCGCACTGGTCCGTATAAACTGATCGATAAAAAAAATTTGCGTGAAAATGTGGTCCGAGTCATGTTTGATCAGATGGGATGCATTAATGGGATCTGATCACACTTTGTGTCAAAAATTGTGTTTTTCTCTTATATTTTCCTCTTCTTTGCTTACCGATTCATTTTGATTCTGGGACAACGACATTCTAGATTCTTAATTGGTATGATCCAAGTCAAAGGACCCCGTTTTAGGATTGTATTCGTTGTTGCGTACTCGAGTGGGGTACGCTTGAAGATCGCCTGTATTTGTATGTCGTATTTGACCGTTTCGGGTGCGTTGTCCTCCATGGCCTCCGTTTCGTCGTCGCGATCCATTTGTTGATTTTCTTTGGTGTATTGTTCGCTGCTGCTCGTTACTTCGGTACTCGATTCGCGGCCAATCACTTTCGCCATTATTGCTGGTGGTAAGAAGGTAATGATACAAATTAAAACTCTTTTAGGTAAAATTGTATATCTGTATAGTTTGCTAAGTACACAAAATAAGAAGCTTTTTTGATTACCGAAATGTGTGCTATAATTATAGCTTAACTTTATCAGTTAATACACAATATAAGTAAAGCTTAACTTTACTTTACTTTTCATAACTTGTATGTTTTAAGTCAAAGCTTTTGCGAAGCTTTCATTTCTTATAAATACTCACCGTAGTCTCTTTTGCAGAATTTGTTGAGGTTTAACCTTTTTGTGCTTATTTTGCATCTTTCGCATTCTGAAAGTAAAAGTAGTATGAAAATTATAAGTACCGTATAGATGTTGATGATATTTGTTAAAAAAAAAAATGTGTAATAATTTCTTAAAGTTTATTTGCTAAAAAAAAATATAAAAAAGTGCAAAAAAAAACATTAAAAAGCATAAATAAATCAAAATGCATAATTTTGTGATATCTTCAATTGAAAATTGCCCATTACAGAAGATATCCTATGATACACTTTCACTGTACACTGTTCTTTAGAAGTACAATTGAAAAAAATTATAGTTTTAAAATTTTGGAGATTTCTTCAGAAGTTTTTCAAACAATTTTTTCGCAAAAAAAAAAAAATCCAATCCTGATCTGTGTACTATAACAACAAAGCATAAACGTAATGGGCAAACTTTTTTCATACAAAAAAAGTTCTGAAATAATTCAATTTCGACTCAATGGCCAACAAAAGACGTCAATCAGTGGCCAATTGAGACATGTGGAAATGTTGAGTACTAATTGCAACAATGCCGAAACACAAAATGCAACAAATATAGACATCCATGTGTATGTATCTACATATAGTACATATATATATATTATATGCACATATGTATGTATAACTGCAGAATAGCCAGTAGCGAAGCCCAAACTTTTAAAAAATAAAAGTAAAAGTAAACAAATACACATACGTACATACATATGTATGCTGAAAGGCAAAAACCAAAACAAATTACATTTTAAATTTAAATACAATTCAATTACCAATGCCAATTAGCTTGGGGGCTAGAGTAGCGGTAATGTGGCTGTGGCACGCAGTTTTCAGCTTTTTTGTTTGCTTCTTTTCGCTTTGCGTGTTTTTTTTTGCAAAAGCGAACATTTTCAATATAAAAAGTACTAAAAGTTTCGCAGAAATATTTTTTTTCGTTTGAACTTCTTTTTTTACGAGGAGTAAATAAAAGGTCTGTTATAAGAGCGGTGTGCTGAAGAGCACAATTTTTATGCGAAAGGATCAAGTCCTCCTATAAAAAGCTTTCCGTTTTATGTGTGTTGGTCGTAGGCGTAGTTTCTTCGTATAATTATGTCTAAAAACCAGAAATTGGCTGTTTTTATTAATAGTACTCGAAGAACGACCACAACAAATATTTTAAAGAGAGAATTGGTGTAGGGAGTAGAATCAATGTACAATGTGTACTCTTACCATTTTTATCTTCGTTTCAAAGAACACCGAGTCTTAGATTTCTTATGAAGTGGCGCAAGGAGCATTTTGTAATGACCTACCAAATGTATTATGTGGCAAAGTGCTTAAAAATTAAGATTACCCAATTATTTGAACAAACGCCTATTTTAAATATTTCACTAAAACACAGACCTGAACTTGAATGTTTGAATAGCAGTGAGAACATTTTTAACATGTGTACTAAAAAAATTTCAAACAATAAATTAGCCTATAATTGAAGCAATTTGTAGATATAAATATAAATCAATCAGCTTAGCCATGGATAACAGCTCATTTCAGTATTCATCAAGATGTCTTTACAATGCAATAAGTTAGTGAAACTGTTTATATATACATAGATATTACATATACATATATACATAGTATTGGAACATCTCGCCACTTAGCTAAAGCTTTCAACTAATCATTCACTTAGTGTGCTAATACATCTAAGAAGCTTTCATTTTTCACATCAAATTGTTGAGATTATTTTTTTCTTTGATTTTTTCGACGAAGTACATATATATTAGGCTGTTTCAAAAAAAATATTTATTTTTTTTTTTCGAAATCCTCACGTAAAAACTTTCGTGGAAATGTAAAAAGACGCCTGTGAAAATCAGAGCCCTTAATATTAATATTAAGATTTCTATTTCCCATTTAAATAACACGGAAAAAATTTGTCTTTAATTTTGGAATTTTGCAACTCTGAACCGGCTTAACGGATTGCTGAACTAAATTATATTCTTATAGGAAATTTGGCGCTCTTCAAAAAAGTCTTTGAAACATTTTTGATTATCTTAATCACTTATTACAATAATTTTTTTTTTTTTGATTTTAAAGTTAGCATGGTTTATTGTCCAAGGCTGTATAACCTGCGTAAATATTGTTCAGATCGGACCACTACAGCATATAGCTGTTATACAAACTGAACCATTTAAATCATGTCCCAAATTTTTTATTTGCCGAGGAATCTTCACGAAATTTGGCATGACTTATTGTCCAAGGTATTTTCTGAACATATTGTTCACATTGGACCACTATTGCATGTATGCAGCTACAAACTGACCGATAAAATTAAGTCTTTGTATGGAAAACTTTTTTAGTTGAAAAATTATCTTCTAGAAATTTGGTATGGATTATTGTCCAAGACAATGCTACAATCTCTGAATATATTGTTCACATTGGATCGCTAAAACATATATCTGTCATATGAACTGGACGATCGAAATCAAGTGCTTGTATGGAAAACTTTTGCATTTTATGAGATATCTTCACGAAATTTGGCATGAGTTATTATCTAAGGCAATAATGCAATATTCGAGGAAATTGTTCAGATCGGGTCACGTAGCATATAGCTGCCATACAAACTAAGCAATCGGAATAAAGTTGTAAGGAAATTTTGTATTTGTGAAGAGTATTAAAGCTTCGGTGCAGCCGAACTTAACGTTTTTTCTTGTTCGTATATTTATTTTATACTTTGCAAATAGATAATATTGAAATACTCTTTAATTGAGGCAAGGAAAAATATTTCACTGACAATTTTGTATTAAAAAATGTAAATTATTATATTTAAAAAAAAAATTTCAATTCTTTCCCACATGGAATTTTTCAAATAGTTTTATGTTTTTTTAACTTTTGATGATTAGCTAAATTCCCTTGCGTAGGAGAAGGAAAAACTAATCACTCAAATTGAGTGAACTTTTGACTGAGTAATAAAAACAAATATTTTATATACCTTAACTGCAAATTATGTACACAAATTCCTTTTAAAAGCAGGAAAACAAAATAGTTCTTGCATTTTAATACACCGCTGTAATGCTAATAAAATGCATAGCAAACACTTTCCATTACGCCGCAAAACGCACAAAGCAAAGCAAAAAGAAAAAAATTCACTAAATATTTATTTAACTGCAAAAGTTAAGAGCTTCTGACACTTAAAATGCGATTTTATTACAGAAGTTAACTAATGCAATGCGCCTAAAAACCACAAGAGCAGCAACAGCCACCTGAAGTGTATATAGTACACGATTAAAACAAGCTTTTATATGTTATATGTTACCAAAAGACTGGAAAATTTATTGATTTGCTTGCAGTGCAGTAAATATTTGTTTATTGTTGTTGGTACACAATGCCTACCAACCCTCCCACAATGCGTAAAAGGCCAATTATCTGCTGAACTGTTAACTGCTGTTGATTTTTTATCTTTCCTCTCAATTAGATGCACGCTGATTGGATCAATAAATTGCGCTATTTATTGACTCACAGTCGAAATATATGCCTAAACATATGTATATGTGTATGTTTGTATATGTCTATGTGTTTTAAAATCCCACAAAATTACAGAATTGGAGCAATAGTGCTAAGGCAACAACAATAAAAATAGCAGCAACTAAATTAGAACAACAATCATATGCATCAGCGTGCTTGTTGTGTCAGTGTGCCTGTGTGTTGGTGTGTGTGCCCTGTATTCACTTAAGAATCACCTAAATTGGCATCACTTTCATAGACCACGACGGCTGCGGCGCTTCAGAAATTTTTCACGCCTGCCATTAAAAAAAAACTATGCATATGCATGTATGTATATATGTATGTATGTTTCTAAAGTTCAGGGGGCGTTGCACAATTTCCACGCGCATACGATGTGTCGCTGCTTGCAGTCAAGTTGACAATCTGTCCGCCCCGGAATGCACATCAGTGTTTCTATGTATCTACCATATGTGTGTATGTGACTGCCTCGGCATTTTTTAGAATTAGCGTCGACACGGCCTATCAATTCTCACAATTCAATTTGTTCGCTTGAATCGCAGCCAATTCAACTTTGGAAAATGCCAGCATGCTACTACTAAATACATATGTACATGTATAGGAATACTATGCAAGTGACTCATTTAAAAAGCATCAAAACAAATTAACAATCTCGGTGGGTAAATAGTAAAATTAGAATGCTAAATTAAGAGCACATTGAGCTATTGGAGCTTCTTGTAAGTGATTTTCTAATGGGTAAGGTTAAAAAATTGAGTCGACTCTTAATCATCAAAATGTGATTTATCAAAAAGTATTTTTTTTTATCAATATTAATCCAATGATTCTTTCTATCCTCACAGCACTTCTGGCAAGTTCTCTTTTGTACACCATTGAGTGCTTCCATCGAGTAAATCTCCGACCGTTCATCGATCTTTTCAGTTTTGGCAAAGCAAGAAAGGCACAATGAGTCTTGCTTTTGTTATTGTTTTTAGCAAGAAATTATGCGAATTCATTCACAAAAACGCATACTTAAAACTTGAATTTTTTGAATTTCTTAAAAATTGATTCATTTTAAGTGATCGATCTTTCTGATCATGCGATGACTTTTATATGTATTTTTATAATTTTATCCAAACGTATAAAAAACTTTTTAATATAATATATTATATCGCACAAATGCTTAATATCAATAATTTTCAAAGCTCTACTATTACTTCAGGAGAAATGAAGATGTTGTTGTATTTTTTTTCCGACTTTTGAAGTCGGTTTTAGGTTAAATTTAGTGAGTACTCCTGATACGGAATCATCCCATATACACATACCAAGCAGACTATAAATTTCCTAACGTTACATAGGTTTCACGGCTTCAAAAAACCAAAAAAACTTTTTTATTGCCTGATTTAATACTATACATCTGTAGAATATTATCTCAAGTTGATCCGAGTAATAGTTTTGGAGATACAGTCTAGAAAAGTTGAGCGCTCGATATAGTCAATTAAAACATTAAACGCGTTTTTTCTCGAATATGTGTTGTCAAAGTCGGTTGTCAAGATTTCTCGCGATACTT